CGTAAATGAAGTCTATTTACTTATACATGTATGTGTGTGTAATGTATGTGTGTGTGTGTGTGTGTATATATATATATAAATTGTTTATATATATATATTTATTTATTCATTCATTCATTCATTCATTCATTCATTCATTCATTTATTTATATATGTATATTCGTATTTATATTTTTATATATATATATTAGTCTTTTGAAAAAACGTTTTCTCGTGCGTGCAAAAAATAAATCTCTCGACGCGTCTCGTTGCGCCGCGAGTGAATTCTCTTCTCTTCTCTTTCTCCTAGTTTTCTCCCCCCTTCTCTCTTCTTTTTCTCTACCGCTTTCTGTCCCGTAGTACACAATAGCTCGCGGAGAATATCCGCAGGGACTCGATTTCTCGGCGAATTTCTTCGCTCGCGATCGTGCGTGTATCCGTGTAACCGATACGAGTGAGATAGGAGCTGTGGCTGTGACGTCGAGTCGCCGGAGAAGACGATCTCGAGGGTCGAGGATCTGAAGGTTCGTCTCGGCTCGAAAGCGGAGGGGAAAAAAAAAAAAAAAAAAAATAACGATCCGCGACCGGGGAACGGGTGGATCGTTTCGAAAGATTTGACAAGACGAGAAATACCGATGGAACGTGTCGATCGGTGTCTTCCTCTCTTCTTTTCTTTTTTCCCTTCGTTTCTCTTTTCTTCCTCTTCACTGCGTAAAAAAACACGCCTACTCGTGTTACACTAGACTCTTTCAAAGCACTAAACAAATTAGAAAGTTTCATCTTTTATCGCGCGCGGACAATGTAAAAATAGCGTTAGCTCGTGAAACGTCGGCCGAACGAGAGAGAAAGAGAGAGAGGGAGAGAGAGTGTGTGTCTCCCCCTCCCCGGAGTTTCCCCTCGTCTCTCCGCTCCCTTCGTTTCACGAAATTTTCAACGGTCACCCCCGTTACTAGCGGAACATTAGTTTGCGTTTACAATTATACTCGATTAAGGCGGCTTGGGATCAAACGTTAGGGTTATCATATTTTCGCGCGTAAGGCATTATCCGGCTCCTTGTCGTTCGCGACGGAACTGCTCGATTGCCTGAAGCGAGAGGGTGAGGAAAGACTTGGTCGTCCCCGATGGCGAGTCAACTCGCACACAGTTACGATCAGTTCAAAGTCGAGGGAAAGAATGTTTCTGCCTGGAAACAGTAGTAGTTCCGTGCGTCCCGACTCGACTTCTCTCTTGGCCGTGTTCACGTTTTGGAAACGAGCGACCAGAAACGAGCTCGCCAGCAGCTGGACAGAACAGTATTTCTCAGAGAAATACTCAACAAAGTCGAGTGTGTACAAGTACAAACGAGATGCAAACTAGTCAACGTCTACGGTGAACAGAACCGTACCATCGAAGGAAGGAGTACGACTAATAAATATGTTTCTAAAGTCTCGAAAAATCCGGAGAGGTCGAAGAGGTCGTTGGAAAAAAAAAATTCGTCGAGAGCTCGACCCGAGGGGGGGAGGGGCTTCTCTCGTTCGTTCGGACCCGTCTCCGGCTTTTTCTTCGAACAAGGAGGAAAACAGAACAGAATCGCTAATTGACGATACAAAACAAGAGAGATATATATATATATATGTATGTGTGTATGTATGTATATATGTATGTATGTATGTATGTATGTATGTATGTATGTATGTATGTATGTTGCATACGTATATGTGTGTATATATATATATATATATATATTTGTGCACTAATGCATTTCTGTTATTCATGAAGCACAGTTATTGATGCGATAAATAATAATTTTGATGCAACAGTAATTAGATTGAATGTGTGCTCGTGTAGTAGGTGATTGAATATGTTAATTGACAAGTACAGTTCCGGTTCCTCCGGTTTCTAATTTATCAACTTTCAATTGTCAAATTTAATTGCAAATTCACAGTGTTCTTCAATTAATTTTCATTTGCGAACACCTGACTGTTAAATTACAGTTTCCAACGTTCGATTTCTAAATACACTGCAGTCTAAGGAAATAGGAACCCTTATTTTCTTCTTTGATATATTTGGTAACTTTTAGTTTACAATTCTTCTTCATAGTTCCAAATTCTAACACATCGATACCAATTTCCAATTGGAACTGTTGAGCAACGCCAGTCCGTGGCAGCAAATTTTCTGCCTTAATTTCTCTAAGAATACCAAAAACTAAATTAAAAAAAAAAAAAAAACACCGAATACCGAAGATCGAAGTCGAAATTAAAAACGAACGTAATTATTTCTAATTGAAAAGGCGTCGGTCCAAGCTTTGGCAATTAGAACTTCTCAGATAGATAAAGGATAGAAAATTCTTCATAGATTCGTACATTCTACGAGAAACTATTTAAATCTCTGTTTTCCACAAAGTAAAGTTTCTTTCCTTAGAGGAAAAATAATAAATCCATTCGGACCGCTGTGATAGCCCTAGCTATCGTTAACAAACTCCGAACGAAAATTCATTCGAATGCGAATTAATTCGTCACTCGCGGAATTTAGCAACGAGTGGTGCTCAGTCGACCGGTTGAAAACTCGTACTCGTGAAGCTTCCTCGGCTGTTCAAGCGGTGTTTCGATGCCACCCGGTGCTACGAGTGGTTTGCAGGTTATCGGGGAAACTTTTAATTGGCGTGCCAGACGATATAGATAGCGGCCACTGTTGACCATGATATTGGAAGAATTCTTGCCAAGCGCCGCTGCGTAAATACCAAGCCGACAATCGAGAAGCGATCGCGTTGACACGTGAAAACTGACCAAGCGATAAAAAAGAAGTTCTTCAGCCCTCTGTAGCGAAGAACAGAGACGTTGCACTTTGCTCTGTCTTTCGATGCTTACTCGACTATTAAGTTGACAAATATCTCGCTCGAATTTCCGCGATATTTGTCT